CCATCTCGACGAGCCCAAACCTGTCGTACGCAAATGTCGCCAGAACCCCACCGGATAGTTCCCCTGCGAACCTAAACTCAATATCGTCTATGGAAACCACTCCGTCAAGTACGACCGATTCGCTGTTCTGCACGATCGACACTTCCAGAGTAGAGAGCGGAGAAGGTGATAAGACTTCGGTGGGGGCAATTAGGACAATCGTTGAGAGAGAAATCCGGGGAAGGGGAGACTGCGTCAATTGGCGATGTCGCGCAGTGACAAAAGATCCAAAGAACCCGAGCCGGGTTAGGATTGCCTGTAGGGACGAGGCCGAACTCAAAATTGTCAAGGAGGTTGCAGAGAAAAAGATGGCAACAGGCACCCGAGTGCTACGGGACGAGCTTTACCCGATCAAGGTCGACAATGTCAACCGCTCGGTGGTTCTGGACGACGAAGGCAACATCCGAACTGGAGCTGCGGAGGCATTCAGTCAAGAAAACGAAACCACAGTGGCGAAGATTGCTTGGCTGAGCAGGAAAGATACAGCGAAAGCGTACGGATCGATGGTGGTTTACGTCACCAAAGGGAGCGATGCAAGGAGATTGTTGAGTGAGGGTTTCTTCCACGCTGGGGGAGAATCCGGATACACACGGGTATTTGAACGCCGGGTGCGTCCGGAGCAGTGTTACAACTGCCAGGAAATCGGACACAAAGCCTTCAACTGCAAGAAAGCCCAGGTGTGCGCAAAATGTGCCAAGCAAGGCCACCACCACAGCGGGTGCAAGGAAACGGTCATGAAGTGCGTTCTCTGCGGAGGACCACACGAATCTTTCAGCCACAACTGCCCGAAGCTTTATCCTACTAGCCAGAAGTAGGATACATTCTCTCGACTTGACAGTTGAGACCACTAACTCTTCTCCCCTTCGACTAACTGACCCCCCAAGCACCCTCGTGGCACTAACCGCAGGACTCGCTTTAGCTGCTGAAGATAGGACGCTAAACACTTGGAGAACATAGCCTTCAAGCGCGCCTGCAATTTGTCAACTAACCACGAGATTTCGACGATAAGTCAGATACGGTTTAGGGAATACTGCATCAGGAATGACAAATTTAAGGGCTGGTACGAGATCAAGGCAGAATCACAGGGAGGGATTATGTAACTAGCATCATGGCCCTTTAGGCTTAGCGCCTCCGGGCGGAATAAATATCCATCCATCCATCCAGCAGCAGGATCTCCTCTCCGTTAGCGTCCCCTTGCGAGAGCTTCCTCTCTCCTCATCGCACAACTCAGTCATTAGCCAGAACCTGACCCTGTCCCGCGACTCCCCTGACCTCGCCCCGTGACAGAAAATTGCATTTCTTGCCCGTCTTGGCGCAAGTACAGTGATGTCCATAGAAACACGTGGGGTCCCTACACGCCCCCCTATCATGGCACTTCTCCCCGCGGAGTCTGTGCCGCATCACCAGTTTCTCGCTTGCCGTCAGTGTGCCGTGCAGAAAGCCGCAGTCTCCCAAGCAAGCGCCATAGAGATGATACAGGTTGCAAAACCGCTTTCCTCCCACGTACTTCTTCCGGCTGAAACTCTCGGCCACTGTTGCCGATCGAGGTGGCAGCGGCATGTCGATGCGGTGGCCGTCGGCGTTGATCAAGATGATTTGCTTATCGATGGTGCCAAACGTAGGTCGCGGTCGTGAGCTGGCTGCCGGTGGGGCAGGCTTTGGCTGTGAAGCTGCTGCACGGGCTGCATACATGTAGCTGATTAGGGGCGAAAGGCTCCCTGTTGCGCTATCCGAAGGCGAGACGATATCGGCTGAGCAACCACCTGCCCCAAAAACAGGTTCGGATCCGCCGTTCTTGACTTTTTAGGTGTGCCCAGCACCTAGACGGTCAAGACCCAAACGGTGGCCACTGAACACGGCCTCCATGGTCACTGACAGAAACGGAAGGCTGGCAAATTCGTTCCCCGTCTGGAATGACTTTATCATGGTCACCTTTTCGATGACCTCCGGCAGATGAACATCTTTCTCTAGCATTCGGACATAGCCATTGTCATGGCAACAAGGAGAATGTGCCGGCAGGTCGGGTTCTTGGCGAACTGACGGAAGGCACCTGGATGAGAAAATCCACGTGTAAAGCGAGGGACAACTTGCTCAGCGCCAGAGTTCTTGGCTATGCCCAACTTGACAAATAGGCTTGACAAGCCCTCCCAAGATGCAAACGCTCGGCCGATCACGGGTACATTGACCAGAGGAGGGTTGATATTGTTGCACTGCAGCACTCAAGTCCACTGCCGCCCGCTCACCGCCATCGGCGGGGTCACCGGCAAAATATTTGTCGTCAAAGTGGCACACACAAGACCGGTCAGCTCCGTCAAGCTGCTAGAACGACACACCATGGGGCACGGTTACCATGTAAGCATCGGCATCAGCGTCCACCAAGACGAGCACAAACCCCCCGCCCATCTAAACATCGTCAGCCCTCCTATTGTTGCCGGTATTGACGGGGATGATCTAACCGTTGCCTCCTTCAACCCGTTCAGCTCGGCCTCCAACTTCTCGGTGCTTTGTTGCGTAGCGCGGGCCGCAACCCGCTCGCGCTTGAGGTCGCGGCATACATCCGTGTATTTTCGGTCTAGTTCGCTGAGTCGTACGGCCAGTTCCTAAACACATACGCTAGTTAGCACTCCCGTTACGATTGTTAGATTCATGACAGAGCGGAGAACTGTTCCACGCGAGTCTCAACCATAAAAACCAACCGTCACGTAGTTCACGCTGGCCTGCATCTGGGCGCGGAACTGGTCCACAAACACGTTGAGACCATCAGAGAGGTCGGACATCGTTGCGTACAATCGAAAATCTGCCCAGTCATCAAAGAACACCAACCAACGCGGGGAAAAGAAGAAAAAGGGAGCAAGAGCCTTGAGAGTACACTGAGTACCTAAGGTGTCGAGTTTCTGTGCAAACAGACGACAGGCAGCCACTCATCCAAGTGGCCCAATAAAACTCGGGAAGGGGTTACACAATCTCCAGTACGCCCTGTCCGACGCAATTGAACACAAAACTAGAAAATTCCAAGCTCGGCTGCACGGCCGATTGCCTTGTAGCCAACCAAAATAGGTCTCGAAGGGAAACCAGTAAAAATGCCAGGCAATATGAAATGTCACGAATATGCCAATAGGTGGGACTTAGGGGCGCGGGGCGCCCCGGGCCAATCGCTAGATGGATTAATCGGGACAAGGGACAGGGGCGCCAGCCAAGCTGCAAGGTGCTAAGATGCCTGGACTACGTTGAGCTAGTCATGCCCTACAAGATGTGACTAAGGTTTTCTCTTCGTTCTTGGCCGGTTATAGTCAACAGGCTCAGCCACCATCCCCACGCTGCAGAACGGTAAACGGCCAACAACATCCAGCCCAACTTCAAAACCACTCTAGATCGCTATCAAGCGCCTGCAACACAGCCGCTTGGAAAACGTGGTGAAGTCACACCGCGAGTCATCAGTACCCGGCAGGCTTGACACAGTCTGCCAACGAACCGCCCGTATCCGCTCCCGGGATCTAGAAACGCGTCCAGTTAGCATCCGAATCAACCGGCTCCAATTGGCGTATTGCTTACATTGTGGACAATTGAGAAGGGATCCCAATGCGGGTCCGTGTGAGGCGCGTACTCAACCCCGTTGATCATGTTCTGCACGCCCGCCTCATCGTCGCTGTAGTAATGGGCCAGGAAAGCGTACATCATATCGATGCCTGTGAGAATGATCAAGAAGTGCGGGACCCTCGGACACTCTACCAAGAAAATGAGAAACTAACCTGCCGCGACGCCAGAGCTGGTCCAGATGTTGCCGTCAGTCACCCACCTCGCGGTCGGCACCCAGGTGACATTCTTCCCGTGCGTGATCACCGTGTCCCACACGGCCTTGTTGGACGTCGCCCGCTTGCCCTCGAGCACACCGGCATCAGCAAGGTTCCTAGCCCCCGTGCACACGCTGAGAAGATACTCTAGTTTGGGGTATTGCTCGGCGATGAAGGCGTTCAGGGCGGGGGCGTTCTCATCCGACAAGATGCCACCGGGGATCAGAAGGACGTCCAGTGGGGGCGGGTTCTCAAAGCTGTGAGTGGCGAGGATTTGGGGCGCAGAGGCAGCCGCTCCTTTCGGGCCGCCCAAAAACACTCTGGACTTGACGAGGCCGATCTCGTGGCTAATGAGGTGGATGTCGATGTCCTTTTTGGGAATGAGAGCTAGAAGAGGCATCAGCATAGGTAGGTACGGATCCATAATTCCGTTGCCAAATCCGCGAGGCAACCTACTGCCGAGACCAACTCCAGCGGCCCCCAGACATCTAGACCCGTGTATTGGTCATAGACAACCTAACCACGGCATTTGCGGTCAGTTTCACAATTCTACCGCAGAGAAGGTGCTCATCAAAGCAGCTCACCAATCCAATCGACATCGATCCGTTCTTCTGAGCATGGGCAGTTGCCGAAAGAAGAGGGAGGAGCGTGCACGCACGCAAAATTAGGCTTTTGAGAGTCATCTTGTCGCTGGGAGCTGGAACCGTCTTCCGTCTGGGGTAAGCGTTGTAGAAGTCAGAAACTAAATTTGCGGGAGAATGTTCTACTGCTGAGGCCCAGACCACGTGGTGTTGAAATGCCTATACGGGCCGTACAAACAGCGGACTCTTATACATATCTAGGACCTAGCTTGCCTCACATCGCATGTGTTGTTGTCCCCACTAAAAGTAACAGACTGGCCCTATCACAACCATCATCCTAAGTTCCGAAGGGCCTCGGGAGATAACTATTGGGACCTGTCTAAAGCCGTACGGATATCTCAATCACGTGCATACGCAGATGTGGCAGGTCAAGCAGATCTGTACAACTTCCTGGGTTGTTGTTCCTCCGGTGCTATAAACCCGAGCTGGTTGTCAGACCTATTCGCTCAAAAGCGCTCAGGGGTTACCAATCCCCTTCCACCGTTCCGTCGCAAGAGCCCCGCACTCCAAGTGCATGGCAGACGCATTTTCACAGAGAACTCCAACAGCTTGCCGCAACATTTTAACTTGATTGGACCCTTCCTGCCCGTGGTCGTCCGGTGACCAAAGTTGAGAGAGTATTTGGGCCCTGGCCCTTTGCGTCAACATATTCATTAGAAGGAGAAGGTAACATCAACAAACCCATACAGCATCCACGGTGGCACTCTACTCTCTGTAGGTAATGTACGCGGCAACACAACTTGCAGGAAACTTGAGGGCCCCATCGCAACCAACCCATCTCTTCTTGGTAATTGATTGCCGCCTCCGCAGAGTCACCCTGAACCCAGCCCTCCAGTCTCTCTTCTGAACCCTAACTCCATCTCCTCAGAACCTTTCCGATGCAGCAACCCCGAGGCTCATTCCCTTAGGAATTGGGGACCTTCTTTTTTCGGTATTCCATAAATACGATTGCATGACTCGGACATTTACCCCGTCATTCTTCTTGAATCTCAACCAGGGCCAGGGACGGCATGAATCCCTCCATGAGCGTCGTTGTGTCGCGAGAGGAGATGTGGGCATGAGGTTTCTAAGCTCGGCCATATGTAATGGAGGTATGTACCGACCCTCCTACCAAACCCCAGGCACCTATGGTAACACTGGTACTTAGACACTGCTAAACGTGGTTACCAATCCGCACCGCCTTGTTTTAATGAATCTGCCTGGCCATGTGCCTCGGGCTTATTTCTCCCATGTTTTATGACCGAGGTTTCGTGACGCCTTTCTGCCACACGGAGCAGAACTTATGTCAACAAAAGCATCACGGGCATGAAAGAGGCCCCTGGTTTAGTCCAAGAGTCGAGGCCTAGCAACGCGTTATTCGTCATTTTCCGCCACAATGACCTAACTCGGGACTGGTAGCACTCCTTCAAAAATGTCGCCAGATTTGCCAGCGGCCTAACGGTGCCTCGGTATTTGACGGAGGGAAGCATCACAGCTGTGTAGGTACCTCCCTACCCGACTCCTCACACTTTGACCACCTGAGCTCCATGTTCACATCGTCTTTGGGACGGGGATGACGACGCCTTCCATAAACCCTTGGGCTTATTGAGTTTTAGAGTTCGAGGATATCCATCTTTGATTCCCTGCGATTTACAATAGCACGCCCGTGAAACTGACTCGTTGTCGGCGGCCAGCGATCATCAAGGCCAGCCGAATTACGCCTCGCCCCGTGCCAGCTTCAATAGCAACATTTCCGAAGAACGCCTGACAAAATCTCAGGCGATCAAAAACCCCAATGCCATGTGCTATCGATTCCTTCGAAGCCGAGGAGGATGGTAAGCTTCAATTAGTGGAGGCGAGGGCGGGGGATCCCCAAGGCGTCTCCGAGAACCAACCCTCCCTCATGCTAACTTCACCTCACTCTCGTGGCGTCATGCCCCCTTTTCAATCGGAGACATTGCCAAGGTGAGCTATTCTTGCGCCTCCGGTGCGGGTACCTCTCCCAACCATCAGGACATCGTCCGAAACAGGAAATAGGCGGCGTGTCGAGTCGGCTACGAGTACCAAATTCGGGAAAAGAGAAGCGAGCAACGGGGGTTTCAGTTGCATGCAATGCAGGGAACGAAACTTATGCAAGGTCCAGTTTGCTGGGACTGTGCCGCAGAAATCCCGGGGGCACGACTCGGTCATTGTTCTGATCCCCCAGGGGCCAGCCGCCTACGTGGGGGGAGCTGAGGGTGCCAACGAGCACGTCATCGCCCAAATCCTCGCGACGGTAATTTTAAGCCCTCTGTGTTCAATTTTCCGAGCACGCGCACACGCACGCACATGTCATGATGCGCACGTGAAAACGCGACCGAACGGATTTATCAGTGACAAACGAAGGCGAGAAGCATCTTCTGGAGGCCGCTTCAAGGAGTTGTCCGATGTTTTACCCCTCTGCGTTGGTTGGGTCGAATGTTTCTCTCCGCGATTGACGTCGGCTCAGCTCATCCGCCCTGGAATTACCTCACGCTGCTGGCATCAACCCGTTGGCTGTGTTCGGGTTGTCTTCCGTTTTTGGCTGTTGAAACGTCTCAAATCCGGGTCACGCACAAAAGTCAAAATAGAGGGAAAATACCACACAACCAACATCGGAGGATTGTGGTCCCTTTATCAGACCCCCAATGCTTATTTCAGGGGTCTGCATGATGTGACCCAGAGCACTGGGACTCGAATTTCTCCTGGTAACCCCCGCAAAGCACGAGGTCAGCTCCATGTCTTGGAACCACGCAGCTGAAGGTGCCTTGCGTTGACTGGCTTGCTTCGACCCCCACGAAGCTCCCTGGCCCCTTTTGGAGCCCAACAGCACAAGGTACCCGTCACCAATGGCTCGATAGCACGCAATGCACCAGAGCAAATCGCGCGATGTCTCCACGTCGATATATCGGCCTTCCCAGCCGTCAAACCGCCGTGATGTTTGCTATCATCCTCCTGCTGCCGCTGATGGCCGAGTTTCTGTCGCGCCAACGACCAACAGCGACAAGCCAACGTGTTGAACGCTGAAATTTGATTGATATGACTGCGCGACGACCGCAACCATGTTGCACACCCGCGGCGACGCGGCGCTCGACGAGGGACAGCTGCTAGTCCTGACGATCCTTACCCGTGTTGCCTCAGCCCTCTCCGCTCTCGGTGTCTTGACCATTATCACGACCTACTGCCTGTCGAAGCACTTTCGCAACCCCATGCACCGTCTTATCGTCATTAACGCCTTTTACAACGCCCTCGATGTGACATGTACTATGATTTCGACGAGTGGGCCGGCGGCCGGGAACTCGTCTACACTATGCCAGTTTCAGGGGTTTCTAAACCAAATGTGAGCCTCGTCCAAAAAAGCTGAATGCAAACGTGCGGTTTTAACATGTTATTTCCTCAGGTTTCCCATCGCAGACGTCCTCTGGACTATGGCCATGGCGGTCAACGTGTACTTGATCGTTTATCGCAGCTACGACATCGAGTCGCTCCGACGCCTCGAGTGGAAGTACATGGTGGGAATCACGACCGTCACCTTTATCCCGGCCCTAGTGCTTCTCTTTATCCACACCGACGAGAATGGCCCCATGTATGGCAGTGTAACGGTAACAACCCCATTTACTATTCTTGCTCAACCCCTGAGTTCCCTAGCCTAGTAAGCTGACAAGGCATCTACCCAGCTATGGTGCGCCATCGCCCCTAAGTGGGTACTATTTAGAATTGTCCTGTACTACGTCCCCATCTGGTACTGCTCCCACACTACGCCGCGTATCTTTCCCCTTACCAACTAACATTAACCTCCCCATCAGGTCCTCCATCTTCGCCACAATAGCTCTCTACCTCCTCGTGGGCATTGAAATCGCCAAACGCCGCCGCATCCTCCGCTCCATCAGCAGCCAAGCCAAACGCCACCGTCCTCGACGAGGGCATCCCACCGGCATGCATCCACCACCACCACCACCATCACCACGACTCCTCCTGCGGCAACTCTACTACCGCCGAATATGACAGCAGCACCAGCCATCCACACCCACACCCAGCATCAACATCGACAACAACCGACGAATCCCCCTCCCCAACCCTCACCACAGACATCGACACCGCCCCCCACAACCTGAAATACCCCCAACCCCAATACGCCGCCTCCACCGCAACGCGCATCATCCCGGCTAACCCTTCCTCCCTCTCCTTCCGCCAATACATCCTCATGCCGCTCTTCTTCTTCCTGGCACTGTTACTAGTGTGGGTGGCGCCGTCGACCAACCGGGTCGCGTCCTTTGTGGACCCGCACTCATCGTCCTACCCGCTGATGCTGACGGTGGGGGTGATGGGGTCGCTGCGCGGGTTTTGGAACGGGATCGTTTTTGTGGTGGTGGGCATGCGCTCATGGAAGAGGAGGCGGGAGTCGGATGAGGTCGCGTTGAGGCCGGTTGCATGTTCGGGGGATGGGAGCGGGAGGGGGGAGTGTTAGAGGGCAATTTTTTTGTAACTAAATAAACTTGGTACCTGGTACATACCATAGCGCGCCACCCGACTCAGGGAAAATGATCTTGGGTACCGTTTTCTGGGGTGGGGACCACTTTGTGCGCAAAATGCTCACTAGATCATTTTGTGCAGAGAATATGTTGCACGCAAAGTTCTCCTAATTGGTGCAGGCCGTTTTATTCTGCCATTCGTTTTGGTTTACGGAGGCTGCGTTTTGCCAATGGCAGTTTTGTGCTACAGATGGATGGATGGATGGATGGAATTTATTTCGCCCGGAGGCACTGGGCCTATAGGGCCTTAGCACGCTAACTACATCCGGATCAAATCGTTTTGCCTTCAACTCGTACAAGCCCCCTACTTCTTCCCTCTTTCTCGCTGCACCATTTACCTCTTGCCTTGGTTGTTGTTAGCAGATCAGCTTGGAGGCTACTTTCTCCAAGTGTTCAGCGTCCTATCTTCAGCAGCTAAAGCGGGACCTGCTGGTTAAGGCTCGTGGTTGAGGCTCGTGGTGTTGAGTGTCGGCTTCTTCTACTGTGACTGGTCTAGACTCTCCTCCTCATTCAGCTCCAGCCTTCCTGTTGCCATTGCGGGACTGCCTTCATATCTGGTGACCAATGCCTTGTATCTGATGGCGCTTTCCCTCTCAGATAGAACGAGAGGCTTCCTCGTCTTGCCACTGTGCATTGCAGCATGTCTTCCCTCAGAGCTGTCCATCTCACGCATCGGAAAAGAAAGTGTTCCACTGATTCCCTCGCTTGTCCACAGGCACAAAAGTCTGACTCGACCGCCCTGTGCTACAGATAATACCCACATTGAGCATGATCTTTGATCGTGAAAATGATTTTCAGTTCAAAGCTCTCACCTAATCACCTGACCATTTTCCTGGCAACTTTATTTTCTACACTTAAGTAACACACGACTGTGAAATTGTCATCCATCGGTCGGGTCATCTTTGCAGTCAAAAGCATCCTGGTTGCAAAATGATGACAGAGATCATTTTCTCATGAGGAGATCATTTTGCCGGCTCAAGACGGTCACGTGGGTGTAGGTTCATCTTCCACCAGCAAGTCTTTTTCAGGTGCCCTGCCAAGCCCACATGCCCCGGATTTTGATGCGAGCGCTGCACTCCACCTCCAGCATTCCTCCGTCAACTTTTTGACCTTCAACTTCCAACCTGCAGTCCACGCCACCAGGAAAGCTGACCGTCAGATGCAACGCGAAGTCGCCCGCTCGCAACTCAAGATGACGCTGTCAACTGATATACAGGTTTTAACTCGTGTTGTCGCATTTTTTTACCGTGCAGCGATTTTTCACAGTACTGGTAAGTTAGGCTCCTAGGGTAGTCTTGCTGCTTCGCATCGACTTCGCTAATTGACCGTGTCGCGATGGCACCCGTTGCAAACTCTCGTCCGAGAGCCTCGTCGACTTGCTAGGATTTCCGCACAACATTCCACACTTGTATGCCAATGCAAGTCTGCCCGCTCCTGGGGTCAGCTCCTGATCTAAGCGGCCTCGACACCCATCCATTACTAGCCATTTGGTTACCGCATGTTGCTTCCCGCCCCCCAGCTACGGCCGGTATGGTCACCTGGACTGTCGTCCGTAGCCTAATTTTTTTACACTGAATTGACCAGTCCAACCATCACCAAGGCTGGCAGCCTCATCGCGACCTCGTCTGCAATGCCTCTGCAATGCCCCTACACACCTTCCAATTTTGCGCTCGTCCAACTGGGTCTGGTCAGTCCTCTCATTGTATTTTCAGCCGTCCGGATTTTCAGTCTTTTATACTGATCAAGCGTTTTCACAATTTACCAGTCACATCTCGATCCTGACCTGGACACACTACTCCCACTCTTCCGTCGGTTTCGGGTCTGCCCGTGCCCACTTTCGTCATACGCTTTGCCGCAGGGTGATAGTCGGGGCGCTCATGTCAGGTCGGTGCGGGATGACGCCCTCCAGGACCCTAACCCATCGCTAACAAATGGACAGTTACTGGTACCTCATGTTGCACAGGCGCTGCTTTCTCAGGTATGACTGTCCTGCAAATGACTCAACCAGTCACATCGTTGACTGACAGTTTTTTCTGCAACAGACTAAATCCCGGACAGGCTGGTTCTCGTAGGTAAGAACCCTCTAGTTCTGACTTTTTCACACCAAGGTGCTGACAGGAACATGTGCCGCTAGACTGCGAGGTGACTGGGCCGTTTCCCATACCCGTTCGGATACATCAGCGACGACCTGACGCTGTTGCCTGTTCCGCGGCTGCTGGGACCACAACCGGCACCATCTTCGCCAGTCTGCATTCCTAATCCTGTTGTCAGTGTTCCCTGCACCCGAATTCTCGATTGCGGTTGACTGACCGAATCGCCATGCTATTTAGTCACCCAGACCCCTGCACATTGCCGCATCGACCCGTCCATACTGGTATGTGTCCTTCCGTCACGTCGGTGTCCTTGGCCAGCATTGCTGACGGGCTGACGCCCGTAAGTAACTCTAGTCTAGAGCACCCGCGACTTTAATCAAGGGATCCAGGCGAGCTTCAGTCCACGGCAATTGAACGGCCGTTCAAAGAATCTGGCGTTGCATGGCCACAGATTCAAATCGCTGCGAGGCTGGCGCGTGAAGCTTTTTGGCAATTAACAGCGTCGGCAGCGGAAGCGATGCGACGGAGGAGTGGTGGTGGCGCACGGAAGTTGCGGAGCCGGCTGCGGGGAGCGGGGCCGGGGGTAGGATACCTCACTGCATCCATCAATCACTCTTCCAAGCTCAAGTGCAGCCTCCACCGGCCAGAGCCTTTTCAGCGGCAAGATCATCCCAGTGATCGACTGCAGCCAATCAAGCTTCACAAAAATGCATCCCTGCATCCTGGACCTGCAGCCAGCGGAAGCCGCTCGAGTCTGCACTTCTCCGTCACAGTTCTGGAGCCGACAGGGGAACGCATTTGAGTTTAGCGACATACGGTAGATGGGTCAATCAGAGGAAGTAGATGTCGTGGTTGACATAGACAAATGACCCCTTTTCTGCCCGAGGCACCATCCATATCCGGTCAGCCCCGACGCGGGGGAGCCCAATGATCTCGCGTCTCTGTATGATGTGGTAGATCGGGCACTCCAGAATGAACTCCTTCTGCGGGAAGGTTGTCTTGGCCTCGGTATGTGTGACTACCGCGAAGAGGTATGTGATGCCAGTTTGGAAGAAAGTGAATATGCCATCAAGCCGTGCAATTGTCCAAGTATCTCAAGTCGCCGCCTAGGACACGGATGAAGTTGCCAAGTGTAAAAAGCCTCCTAGTTGTTGATTCCCTATATACAGGTCAGAAAACATGTTGGGTCTGCCGTCACTGCCGCAGTCTGCTCACCTGATCGCAAATGACAGCTTTTCTGCCCATTGGAACTGGCCCTTCCCCCAAGACATCACAAATGGCCGGTTGTAATCCTTGGAGAGTGCTGCCCTGAAGAGCTGCATAAACTCGCAGCTGTCCTTCTCTTGACGTGGGCTAAGCACCTTGAGCAAAGGATCCCTCCTGCTCTTGACCCATGCGGCTCACAGGCCGTATAACGCAAGCGGTCGTCGATGTAATGCGTCTGCTGTGATTCCAAGACGACAGTCTCGTCGTTCGTGTCTCGCCGTAGTATGGATCATAGGCTGCAGCTAGCCTTGGGCAGCTACGTCGTAGAACGCTGAACGCGTTATGCACGTCAGGAAATCGGTTCTCGAAACAGCCCGCGAGGGCGAAAGAAATCGCCTGCCGTTCATTTTCTCGGCGGATGAGCGTCGGCGCTGGGTCCCGACTGTTCGTCGCAAAGACGTCGCTGATATAATCCCTGGTTTGGTCGGTTCGTATCATCTTATCCCCTTAACTCAACTAGTAGTTTTATACACTTACTTGTGCTTTGTCTCGCCGGTAAAGGTCAGGGTTAAGCGGCAGCCATACTCCGCTTCATGCAATGGAAGATGGAGGATCTGATGAATATTGGGCAGACCTTTGATGTTGAGGTACTCGTTGGATTTCTGTTCTGGCGATTTGCGTTGTCGCGTTGTTGACATGATAGAAACCACTGAAGGAGGCGGGGGCGGGACCGTTTGGGTTGGATGGGAGAGGCCAGAGTGTGCATGAATTGCTGATATGGTAGCGGCTGCTGAGAGTGAGACCCGACTGGCACCTCGGGGCTTCTGAGCATCGGCTTTCTGTCTCTTTTCCTCGCCCCGGATGCCTGCTAATTTCTTAGCTTCTCCGAGAACATGGAAAAGAAACTGCACCGCCTTCCGTCCGTGCAAAGTAACGCGGGCAAAATCGTCATAGAGATCGGTGAGATTTCTGCCGAAGATCGTAAGGACAGACAAGGTAAAGCTCCAAAAGGCTACGATGATCCAGTCCGAGGCGTTGACAGCGGCAAAGTTGTATGGAAACCGGATAGATGTGTCGAGGAATTGGGGCGCGAACCGGACGAGGAGCTCATGGAGATCGGGTCTGACGTGGCGGGGCCGGAGCCAACAGCGGAGAATGACAGGTGTGAGAACTGAGCTCCGGGCATGTTCATTCATCTTGTATGACCCTCTGTGCGTCTTGGGATTCTGGAGCGCAGACCACCCAGGTGGAAACGTGAAATCCTGGTACACCTTGGCAAGCTCATTTCTGGCCGGTTCGAGGAGCAGGCCATCCGGCATAAAAAGGACATCAAGCATGACGCGGGCAATTCCGGCGAATTCGGAATGTGCAGCATCAATCGGACGGGACCGAAGAACGTCAAGAGCAGGAAAGAGCTTGGTGATGTTGGCCATCACTTCCCCATTGCATACGACGCCGAGTCTTTTTTCCGCCTCATCCTTGGCCCTCTTGGAAGACAAGCCTCGGACAAACGAGATGTTGTCCAAATGTTGCATATAGTACCGGCCATTGTCGATAATGTTGTACTCGAGGTTTCCCCGCTGGTCGATAGGGATGTTGCAGCTGCGACATGGGAGGAGCGCTTGGTGACCTTTAGATCCGCTGAGTTTGGACTGGGAGGGCATGTCGCCCGTTATGTATTGGACGACAAAACTGCACACGAAGACATCTCGGCCACCAATCCTAAGATGTTTTCCCGGAATCCAAAGTCTTCATATGGAACAACGACTGGACGATGTTCTGCAAGGTCGGTGCCATGTGGTCTCCAATGTGAGTGGGAAAATCCCTTCCCCTCTTCCCTCGCAACCACTTCCTCAAAGAAAAGCCCGGTCAGATAGAACCCCATCGTCGCCCGGTACATGTTGTTGTAGAGGCCAAAGGCGTCGCAGAAGAGGGCCCACGGCAAAGAGATTTTATCATCTCCGACAAACTTGGTGATGATGGTGTCCCTGCCTTGATTGCTAATCTCCAGCTCGGCCCGATGAGGCGAAGTCAAGCGTACTGGTCGAGGGCCGCCGGCGACATGGTCAAAGACATACCGGATGACGAACTGGCTTGTCGCAGGCTGGTGTTCGCCGTCTGTGGGGTTGAACTTGTAGTCGAGGACCACCCCCAGGGAGGTGCCGGACAATGTGTGCAGGGTAGAGTGAAAAGTCGTTGTTTGACTTCCATCACCAACTCCGTCGATTCGGTGCCAATGTCGGCCGAGACCGTGCTATCCATGGCTGCCTGCCAATCAACCGGAAGATCGGACCGTCTGAACACCCTCTGGATTTTGACAGTCGCATTTTGGGGGTGCTCTGTCCTGGCATCGATGCCGCAATATCGCACTCTTCCCATGTGGAGGTTTCTGCATTGGCCCGATGTGCAGGGCCATGCCGGCTCGGCCGGCGCACATCTCCAGTACACGAAGTCTGACGGGAGGATTGGGCCACTGTCCGCATAACTGAAGAATTTCCCACTTGTTGACCGCACGCTCTCTCCCCACCACCGTGCCTGCCAAGGTTCGAGGACAGGTCCCTCAACAATCTGCGCAAACCCGCGGTACACCTTGTCTGATATTGCCGATGAACTGAGCAGGCTGACGGCCAAGCTCTCCATGTCGAATGCTAAAACCGTAGTGTCAAGTCGGGTGCTTGATCCCATCTGTGCCTGATCCAGTTTCACGGTCGACTGTCGTAACGTGGAGAGGGGAAGGATGTTTCTCATTTGCCGTGACAACTTGTCCTTTCGCTGGGGGATGCGCTGGAACTCGTCTAGAGACGTTGCAAGTTGAAGGACCTCAAGGAGATGAGAATGGGCGGTTCTGGAGATGTTGTGCTTCTTTTCCCAGAGTGCAAATGCGAAGATGAATGGCGACATGTTGAAGGGTTTGGGTGTATGGTGTATCGGCTCCGAAGAATCCAGCTCTGCGTTATCCGGAAGAACCTCGACGCCGGCATCGTTCTGGACGCTTGGGCCGACGTCTTGGTTATATGGATCTTCGAATCCGACGTCTTCTTCTGCTTCAGGCGGGGAAAGATTTTCGAGAAGGGCAGAGGGAGGCAGAGCCGGCTCATCGGCGAGAGGTTGTGTACACTCGCTAAGCTCCGCTTCCGCAAGCGCCTGCTGAATGATTTTCATAGTTGTCAGGGTGTCGGAGTTCACTGCTTCGTCCTCGGGTGCTGGTGGCGGCAAGTCGGCAAGCTCGTCTAATTCCTGATCGACTGGTGTAGTATCTGACGGAGGCTCGATCCTGTCGTTGAACTCAGCGCTGAACAACCAATCCTCGACTGCGGCGATGGGCTCGGTTCGATCATCTTCATTCTGCATCAGCGGCGCGCTGGATTTCTGCTGTTGCTGCGTCTCACTGGCTAGAGTGACTTCGGCATCTTTCCGTCGCTTCCAGGCGCTGGCGAACTCTGTCGGGTCTTCGGGTGCCCGCTTGGGCACTTTGAGCCGGGGTGCAACGGAATTGTTGATGAAGCGCCACATCTTCTGGATGCTGGTAACTGCAGAAAATCGTGTCGGCGTTTTGGCCTCGCCATCTACGGGCGGGATGGTTCCCGGGGCGATTCAAAGTTGCTCGACTGGTGGGAGCACATGGACCATGCCCACCGCGTCTCCCACCACCAGCATCGCGAGGGCCGCCATTCACCCGCGCCATGGGCCCTGAGTGGGACGCGCCCTCCTAAATCATCAACTTTTCCAGCCTAAGCAAATTCGCACCAATTACCCCGGATGGGTCAAGTTTTCGGCATGCCACTCTTCCACCATTGCATCAAGACCACCACCCTCCGTCGCATCCAGCTCTGCGCGTTCGGTCAGTTTCTTGTCGTCGCATGGTCATCAAGAACCGACCGTACCTCGCTGACACCAACAGTCATGCCCAAGATGCCACCGTCCATGACGATAGACAGCGAAACGGCACGCAGAACCCACCAGGCTGAGTCCCAGGGTGCCGTTATTCCAAGAACGCAACAAGATGACAACGACAACACAAACAATTGACACCGGGTGTACCCAGGCCCAGCGACGATGACGTAGATGTTCGTCAGCCCGCGGTACGGAGCAGGAAAATGTGACTTGTTGTTATACACGTTCCCCCGGGACGATGCCAGACATCGAAGGTTTCACCAGTCAGCTCTAGGTAAGAAAAGGCTGCCTTTGCCCAGACTGACCAATAGCTGACAGCTTTTTCACAGCAGCAGCTACAGACCGGAATGGGATCGTCTCAACGCGTGGACGTTTCTGTCAAGAAGCGAAAATACACACCGGCCTTGGACAAGGACACAAAGCAGGCTATTTATGCTCGGCTGAAGTCTATCGAGTATCAGCTACGTGTTACATACCTTCTGCATTTGACGGATGAAGCCCAAGATGATCTGGTTCGGCACTATCTCGACGACATTGAGGGCGGCGATGCCGAATACGTCCACGAATATGCTGCGTCGAGGATCATGGGCAATTGCTCTAACTGGCAGCTACGGTGCATCGACAACCTTATTGTGAGTTTGAATGGTCCTGGACACAACCCCTCGATTGCTAATGCACCCCAGGCGTTGAACAGGAAGATGTGTAGGGAGAGCGCCATGTACAAGAACTGCAGAGACTTGGTGAGCATCAGGGGGGAAATGAAGGACAAGTACAGCCCCCAGCTTTTCGTCGAGATCTTCGATTTCGCTAGCGAGTACATCGACGTGGCTGGGAGCGGCAAGAACGTCCAAAAATGGTGCAAGAGTAAGCTCCTGTCTTAGTGTGTAAAGTCTCTTGGTGCCTAACAGTCTGCAGTCCTATTCATCGAGCTCGCGAGCCGTGCCAAGCTGGTGGTGGACTACGAGAGTGACCCGAACTCGAAGCGAGTGTCCGACAATGACCGTCTATCCTTCATTTCTTGGTTCAAGACATTGATCAACTCGACCAAATTCAGGGACTACCGTCCCAACCCCCGCAACATCAAACGATACATCAAGCCTCGGGCATCCAAGAGGGGTAGGAAGGAGAAACGCGCGTTCGTCAAGAGGCGCCGGCCGGGCTGTGCCGTGAATGGAACCATGTAGAGGCAGTCGTGATGGAGACTCGGCAGGCCAACGACCTCGTGGCGGCAGTCCTCATCCTCAATTGCCTGCGCCATCTTCAGAATCGGGAGGCGCGTCAGTTCCTCAGCAGCGCCGGTATCGGTCAGAGGCGTGATGACTAAAAAGACGTAGGATTGGTCGGAACCTGGGTGACAGAAGCATGTTAGCAGGCCAGTACGGCGACCCAACCTAGTGTGCAGAACTCCGTTGACAGGGGAGCCTGCGGCTTGATGGCAAAACCATGATGGCCGAGCAGGTAGCGTGAAGATGGATCGAGGGTAGCATAACGATGACCGAGACGATGACAAGGATCACGAACCGTGCACAGCTTCGTGCGTCATAATATGCTCGAGCCTACCAAGCTTGTTGACTCGGTAACGCACATACTGACCCTGTTGATAGACCAGGCGTTGCGCGCCCATAGGCTTGTTGCTAACAGGGTTGAGGCGGGTTAGCGCTGAAATGAGGAAGCATGGGGGCCACATACCTATCTCCAAACGAGACTTTCTTCCACCACCTGATCGGCCAGTTCGAAGTCACCACAATGTTCTTGCCATAGTCGGCTTGATACGCATCGCGTAGCTGAATGGAAAAGGGCAGACTTAACTCGCCCTCCCGGACAGGGAATCCCATTGCCTTGTACACACGCGTCTTGACGAATACAAGGACACGCGCGTCGGGATGGGACATGTCATCGACAACCCTGGCGCCGATGGATGGGTCGTCTTCGTCTTCCAGATCGGTACGGCCAAGACTTTCGCGAGGAAGCAACACTGAGAACAGTGTAGGAGCCGCAGATGCAAGACCCTTCAGCTTGGCAGTGATGTCCGGCTCGTCGTGTGAGAAACCGTCAAGCAGTGTCAAGCGCACAGACTGCAGCATATTTTCGTATGTCAGGCAGTCCTTCTCAGGGTTGCGATGGTTCGTCGTGGTCACAATGTTCTTCCACAGCCTGTAAGCCTGTCAGCCTAAATCGAAGGGTACTGCACCCGTTACCAACTCCCCTAAAGGTACTTGTTGTAGATCAGACAGCGCCCGCAGAGTTCCCGCAGAGTCTCCGCAGAGTGGGCATAAGGTTCGGAGAACCCAGCAGCTGTATCGGGCGGCACATGACGACGCTCTGAACCACTAGTAGAGTTTTTCAAAATTTTCATGGGACACGATCACTTACTTGTGTTTCAACTCTCCAGGAAGAACCATCAACAACGACGCCAACCCATACCGGCGGAATACATCGATGTAGTGCAGGCCGACGTGCACATTGGGGCGCTGCGCCCACTGTCGGTACTTGGTCGCCTTCTGGGCGACGGTAAGCTGGCCAATGTTGATAGCATCGTCAACAGCTTCCTCGTCCTCCTCGACAACCTCGACCGGTACGATGGCGACCTGTGCTTCGGAGCCTGCAGGCGAGACGGCGCGAGAGGTGGCGCGGGATCCTACAACAGATGTAGTGCCGGCGGTGGCACCGCGGCGACGAGCTGCCGCCGCACCAGTCGCAGTGTTAGTAGAGCGCGATGCAGCCTCACACATCAACTGGAACAAGCGTCGGCTGACAAAGATAGTCTCAAAGTATTCCTGCAACATGCCTCGGGCTGCCTGCCCCGTTCCCGGGCTCGGCCGACGATAGGATCGAGTTGGTCTTGACAATGGCCGCCAGCGCGGAATTGTGAGAATCTCGACGACGTTGCGGCCTTTCGACCTTCGTGGCTATCACCATGTCAGCAGCATTGGCCTGTGCAGGTGAGCTGGGGTTTGTGAGAAGACCGCCTTCATAGCCCGCACAAAGGGCCGTTTGATGTCGGTCTCCTTGAGCTAAAGCAACAAGATGATGGTCATCAAAACGGACCAACGGGCGTGCTCCTGGAGGCTGTACTTGAGTACGTTGTATGGCGACTGGATCCGCGCCCAACTAGGGGGGAAGGGCATCCGCCGCAGGACCTTGGAGTACTCGACAACAGACTCGGGTTTCAGCGCAGCGTCGAGGAGGACCTGATGGGTCATCTTAGTGATGCCGTTGAACTCCGAATGCGCTGTATCACTGGGTCGGCCGCTGATGAGGTCCAGTGCTGGAGCGATATGCTGAACAGCAGGAGCGTCGATCGATAGGCCGTGCTGGGTCGAAAAGGCCTGCTTGCGGTACTTCTGCTGCATGTCGTCCATCGCACGGCGAAGCCGAAGCATCTCCATATGGGCGCGTGTCTGGTCCAAGACGTCGAAGTCGAGGTCCCCACGCTTGTCGGCAGGGACTTTGCAACCCCGGCATCCGAAGTTGGCAGCAACACCAAGGCAGCCAGAGTTGTCTTGTTGTTGTGGCATATCGCCGGTGAAGGCGATAATGGGTGCGCAGAGGAGTGTTTGTACCCCGTTGACATCAACAACAGTACCGCGGTCGAGGGCTTTGAGTGGAATCAGCGCCTTCATAACATCCTCGAGGTTAGCGCCATGCGGACCCAGGGTGACTGGCAGCACATTGATCTGGCGCGTGTGCTCCCGCCTCGGCATAGCAGCGATCTGAAGTAGCAGCCCATGATAGACTTGGTCATCGTTCGGTATAAGCCAAAGCCGTCATTGAAGTTGAGGCAAGGCAGGCTCCGTACTTGATGCAGGTATTGACTGAGGACGAACTTCTCGATAAGCGTGTCGCGGCTAAACTCGGTAACCTCCAACACACCAGGGGCAGGGGGGACGAGGCAAGGCGGCATCAACGCTCCTTGGTCCTGGAGGAAGACACGGCGGATGAGCGGGAGGCCGAGACGCGCCCTCGGGTCGTCCGGAAACGACACAGCGCTACCGTACGCGTAGTCGAAGCCGATATCATCACGGCGGCGAGAGACCTTGGCCGGTGGGACAAACTCCATAGGGCTATGGCTCAGCACCCATTAGTCATCGTCAACCTCGTCCTTCGTTAGGTTAGTCTTGATGACAACACTCCTTTCCTTGATGATCTTCGAGATAATGCGGCCTCGAAGAACCCGAGCAACAAGAAGGACAACACCTCCCTCCTCAGCCTGGTCAACACTGTCGCTTAGCTCCGCATCTGGGTTGGCACCAACAACGCCAAGGGATCGAGAGTGTTGACGGCGATCTCGGTACACTGCTATCACCTGGCCAATGTGGAATTTGCCTTGGCCGCTATGACAGTGCTTGCAGCTGAAGAAGGTGCACTCAAAGTCGACGATGTCGCCAGGGAAGATGGGTTCCTTCGACGGCAGTGGCGGGTAGTATGCGAACTCGCCACTGGTGGTACGCACTGAGCCCGCCCACTGCATGGAGTGCCAGAGCTCTGTGGGTTGGTCAACAAGCTCAGCCATACCGTAGTGCATATTGCCTGCAAGCTGCGACCCCTGGATGCGAGCAAGGAAGTCTACTGGGTTCAGGAAGAAGAGGTCCTGCATTGGGTTCTCGCCAGCCATAATGGCAGTGACTATGCGTGAGGACGATAACTTCTTTGGGTTGAGGGGCAGGGCTTTGGCGGTACGCATGTCGATGTGCGGCAAAGATTCTCGAACGTGGCGCTTCAGCGTGTCGAGACTCTCAGGCAGCTGTCTGACCTTCTCGACTGGGCCAAGCATCTTCAACAGCTGCAACTGGGCTGCGTACTGCTTGCGGGAAACGCCGTGGACGATACAGTACAGGCCCCAGCCGAGCACGAGATCCGACAGCTTGTGTGGCTTGCGTGGCTGCGGAACAGACTCAGAGCCTTCGAACGGGTCGCTAGGTTCGCGACCGTACGCATGATATTCTGCCCAGGGCGTGGCCACGATGATGGCATCGGCGACAACTTCCTCCTCCTCCTGTTCATCAACTGCCGCAACACCCTCGGCTTCATCGTCATGGTTCTCGACCGTGTCAGCAATGTATTGGTATTCGGCAAGGGCTGCAAGCTCTTCTTGAAGAGGCGCGTTGTCGACGAGCTGGTATTGTCCGGTCTCGGGGTCGGGGTACACGACGTGCTCTTCATCGTTCAGAACCTCGATGAGGGTATAGGCAATGTCATTCTCGTCAAAGTTCTGCAAAGGAATACAGTCAGCCTGGGATACCGTCGGGTGGGCATCATCGTAGGAGGGGCACTATCGCAGGGGGGCCACGATGGAGGACCTACAATTGCGGCAGTGTACGGCTCCCAGAGGTCGCCACCCAGCTCGTCAATCCACTCGTCATCAGCGCCAGCGATGTCAGTGAGGTGGAAATCGTCAAATTCTGCGACGTCGTCATCGGCTGTATTGCCCTCGCCGTACCGTGGGCGCTGAGAGGGCGAGGGCTGCGCTCCATGGTCATCGGCTCGGGCTCCCAGTGACGCCTCACGCTCACGCTTTTTGGCAGCACGCTCCCGCAGGCGGCGCCGTACGATGGCCTTTTTGGCCCTGTGGTACAGCGCGCGGGTCATCGCGAAGGTTGCGGCACTGCAGTGCCAACGATGATGAGGGGCTTGATGGAGGTTCTAGTCGGGTTTGATAGAAGAAGGGTTGACAGAAGATTTGATGGAGGTTTGATAGAAGGATGCGATAGAAGATGTGATACAGGACTTGGCTGAACCAAGTCGAGAAAGAAATTTGAGAGGAAATGGAATTTTAGGTGGTCGGTCTGTTGTAGGTAATCGGGTCTTTGTGTGAAGGTTTGGCAGGCGCAGCCAAACCCCTGAAATCTTATGGCAACATAGATGCGTCAACACATGAGTACCATCAAAGCCTGCTAGCAAAAATAAAAGCAAGTTGGGTATCAAGCTAATGAGTTACATGGAGCAAATTGACAAAAAGATAGCAATTATCAACGGGCAGCTAGATCCTCGCCCTCCCCTCCTCCAACTCAACCCGCTGCTGGCGGCTCCTCGTCAATCTCAAAGCGTTCTACCCACATTAGTAGCTCAACTACACAGGTAGTTCCAGGGTACGTAGCAGACATACCAAGGTTGGCCTGCGTCCTCTCGGCCCAATTCGTCTACTGCTTCTTTTGGCGGCGCTGCCGCTCAAAGACTTGGTGGAAGTGCGCCTGTGTCAAGTGCTTATACTCTGTATAACTCACCATTAGCAGTTACTGACATGTTAATAGGGAGCAATTGCTACTTACGGTTCTTCTTCGGCATATCGTCGTAGAACTCCAAGAGTTCTTGACGACGCGCCAGGGCAGTGTCCGTATCCTTCGCCTTAGCACGAAGGTACTCCGCCACCTCTACAGCCAAGCCTTGAAACATTGCTAACTAATGTTAGCTGCAGATATATAACGCTACTAATCATGAAATGCTACTTACTGCGTATGTAGTATTGGGCCAAGGGCGTGGGAATGCTCGTAGTCGATGCGGCCGGCCATATACGTCCACACCTTGAGCCAGTTCTCTGGCGAAAAGGCGCGGTGGGCTATGTCCTTCAGGACAGGCCGGGACAAATCTACGCGTATGTCGAGCATCAACGCATTCCCCGGGTGCTCAGCATGTTTTTTGAGTAAGGCCTACAAGTCGGTTATTAGTCTTGCAATACATTATAGATACTAGACAGCCAACAACAGAAAAAGCAAGAATACTTACTTCCATGTTCTTGACGACCCGGAACTTCAAGTTCTTCTGGTCATTCATGAAGCGGGCCCGGGCCTCTGTCCACTCCAGCGAATGGGGGTCTACAGACTCCCCGTATACAGCTTTGATATTCTGCCATACAGGTTAGCTAACTACTATCCAAAGCCTACCAGCAACTAACAGCTGCAACTCAGGGCAGGGTGCTTCTATACTTACCTCCTCGTCATTCTCAGGCCGCCGGGAATGGTAAAGAAAGACTTGCCAATGGCTGACGCTCGTGAGCTTACGCTCACGAGCGTCATCTTCGGCCATCTCCGCGACAACCGCAGCGGCATCATCCCCCCCCGGCCTCTCATTGTCCGGAGGTGCAGGGCGTTTCTTCCGTACTTAGCGGGCGTCCATCGAGCTTTTCGAGGCCAGGATCTTCTCTCGCTCGGTCTGACTTAAACCGTTAGGAATTCTGTATAGCGAAAAGGGCTGTGCCCAGCAGCCCACGATGCTGCAACAACATACGCGTGTGTCTGGGGCCCGCAGGGCGGGGTCAATGTGCTGGGCGTTGAACGGCCCGTTGTCGCCGAGGCCGTCGTCGCCGTCCGCAAAGAAGTTCTGTTGCGACATTGTACTATCAACCATTGTTAAGTCTCTCAGCCCATCAACCCTGTCAGCTAACAGCTGGAAACACTAGGTCGCCACATAAGAGAAGGGACTCGGGAGAGGGCCGAGGACCAGAGTCGATGTAAGTAAGTACTGCCAGCCATTGGGGGTGACGTTGGGAGCGCCGCAGCAAAAAGCATGGGGTCCAGGGGGGCGGCAGCCTCCTGGTACATCAGTAGAGGCTATGAAATTTGATAATAGTTGATGCGGTGACGACACGTAGTGACGTAGTATATAACCACAGACTCTGATCTCACCGCCGACGGGCACTGCGGAACGGCAGTGGGGACCCCGATATCGCACGTATAACAATGCCTGTGCTAAAATAGATAGTGACTTGTGACTGTAACTCTCTACCTGGGTAGATACTCTCAAGATCAAGAGGCCAGTCCCATACTCAAGACTGCGATACCCCCCTAAGTTCTCAAGAAGCCGACTACCACGACCGAGAAGCCGACAAGTCTCAAGAGATTACAAGTTCGAATCAAGATACTAACCCTCTATAAAAATTGGCCTCTCGATCGACAAGGACGTAGGCGCAGCCGCCATTGTAAGATGACTGTTAACCACCCCCTCAAAGACGTTCCCCCTTAACTGGGCCGGAGCATGAGGGACAGGGGTGGCAGTTGCAGTGGCACCGGCGGCCGAACCTTTTTGACTTTTGAGCCTCTATAACTATCTGTTTGTCTTGGTCGCAAAGAGAGTCGCAAATATAGTCGCAGAGAGAGCCGCAAAGAGAGTCGCAGAGAGAGCCGCAATTGAACTACAAACAGAGGCACAAACAGAGGCGCGATTGAACTACCTAATTGAACTGCGAATGCGGCTTCCGTCCGGTGTATCGTACTTGCCTTTTGCAAGGCTTTTTGTGCGTGGGGTGCTAAAATCGCCCACAAATTGACCGAACAAAGTTCCGCGATGCTCATGGCGAAGAGCAGGACGTGTGTCGCCTTTGTACGGCTCAATTCGACCCAGCATCGTCAGTTACCAGTCTCAGCTCTCTCGGCTCTCTACCGGATATGCTATCGTCCAGCAACCCGTTCAGTACGCCCACTACACCGTCGCAGATGCCACCTCTCCGCCGGGGGCCGATTGGACGCCGGGGCTCTGTTCAGTCAGCGGCATCCTCTCCATCTCAGTCTCAGAGTCAACTTCAACTTCCAGCGGTAGAGCCTGTCCCCGACCAGGTCTTTGATGGGGACCTATCGGCCGACGCTATCACGATGGAAGATAGGGTCCGGCTGCAGAAGTTCAATGCCGAGATGGCCAAGGAGGCTATGGTCGAATGCACTCTGTGTAAACAGAAGTGGTTTGACGTGAAGTTACAGGGAGAGATCTGCACTGGCTGTATAAGTCGTGATAGGGCGAGGCGCCCAGAAGAGCCGCTGTTTTATTCGGCCGACAACGATCTTGACTTCGGCGATGTCCCCCCTGACTGACCACCGCTCTCCCAGATTGAGGAGCAGCTCATTGCGCGCGTCCATGTCCATGTGGAGGTCTTCCTCTACCGGGGCCAACAATACAAATACCGCGGGCATGTTGTTAATTTCCTCCGCGATGTCGGCAAAGTCTACAACCAGTTACCACGGCTACCTCGGGAGCTGGATGTCATCGTCTTGCGGCCTGCCAAC